GGCTGAATTTTAATATATCGAAATTGGTCTATTTAGATATATTTCATTCCTCAAAGACAAAGCTCACAGAACAAAACAATTCTGTATTCGGAGTGGCCAGTGAGAAACATGGCCAGATTACGACCTGTCTGTTTTAATTAAAATCCACAAATACATAGCAAGTTCACCAGTTCGAAGCCTCAACAATATTATTCGCCTCGTTGTAGAACGTAGGTTTCATTTACTATTCGTTTAGAAAAAGTCTCTACTTTGAGTAAAAAAATGTGATGCGTTTAATTTACCTTGTTTCCTCACCCATATAGTTTTGTCTGGGACTCGGAGGATCGTTTGCGCTTGAAATAGTCAGATGGCTTCCAGCTTATACCAAATTCGTGTCTTATGCAGTACCTTGACAATTTCAAGCTTTCCACTAGAGATAGAGAAGAATATACAGGCCACGAAAATCTCTAGGTTGTTACAGTAGCTGCGAACCTGAGATCGAAGAAATCCTTGATGGCTCCCCAGCTTTAGCTTTGCACAGATCAGCCCACTTCTTTGGTCTTTTTCTCATTTCTGGTCGAGTTTCATCAAGAAAGAGGTATTGAATGAAGAGGAATACTCTATTCTACGCATCCTGTATTGCTACAGCCTCCAACAACATACCTTCCTTGCATTCTGCAACGATTTTAAGATGCACTATCGCATGTTCGCATATATTTGTCTCAGAAACAAAATATTGACATCAGAAGCCAACTCAGTCATGAACATGGAAAAGAGCAAATTTGCAAACTTTGAAAATTCATACAAAATTAATGAAAATAGGTACAGCGATAATTTTTTGGCAGTGGTGATCAGGAGAAAAAGGAAATTTATATTTTCAGCGAAAAAAAATTTGGGGGGTTAGTGGCACTTTAATCATTTATTCATGACAATAATAATTATTATTGAACCTTTCTGTCACAACATGATGAAGTTTACATACTTGTAATTCCTTAGTTTAAAGCAAATTAAAAGGTCTGCAAAGCAAAAAGTTGTCTCACATAGAGCTACTTTATCCTGAAATCATATTATACAAAATAGATTACCTTGTGGTTCCCTTTGATTGTCAAGTAAGAAAGAACTTTCATCTAAAGAGCTTAAATCCACCTGTATAGAACCAGGATCAAGAATGTCATCAGTTCGTTCTTCTGTGCCAGACTTTACTTCCCTTTGTTGATGTACTGTTACTTCGCTTGACTCTTTTCTTTTTGGCTCTTCGTCCAATTCCTCAGGTGTTGATGGTCGTGCACCTGCAGACTGTATGGGAGGTAAACGTGGTATTGATGTCAAAGAACCTGATTTCAGGCTTCCTCGATGTTTTGCTTTACTTTTTGGCAAAGTCACTACAGGAGCAGGATCTGGTTGAACTCCTCTGCCATTGTCTGGGTAGTTAGTCACCCATCCCTGAAGGTCTGACAGATCAGAATTAATAGATTCTAGAGTCTTTTGAAGAAGAAGTTGAGATAACAGATCTTCTTTCTGTTTGGCACTTAACTGGCTATAGGGGTCCTTTCTTTGTGGTAGCAACTCAACTTCAGAAAGACGATTACTCAATGGTTCTTCTGGACTAAGAGCTCTTGAAGATGGGGCATATTCTTCACTTTCGCTATTCAAAGAGATCATTGATGCAGCTCCAGTTGACATCCCATTCTTGTAGAAATGAAAAGAGCTTTCAAACATTGAGCTTGATGGAGAAAATGGAGGTAGTGACATTGTACTGTATGGTTGAGGTTTATGAGGAAAGAGACTACATACTGCATCACCCCTGTGCAATGGATCCCCTTTGGGGTCAAATGTCAGTAATGCTGGATCCTTAAGAGATCCTGCTGCAGCTAGTCGTTTCCAAGTGTCTTCTTCCAATGAATTTCCAAGAGTGGCAATGTAACGTTTGGGTGAAAAGCCTGGTCTCACAGACTGGTCTTTATAACCACTCAACCGCTTCTGAAGCAATGCAAGAAAGAGAGGATCCCCCTAAAACATTAAAACCAAAGTCTGGGTATGCAAGAAACAGTTTCAACATTAAGTACATGTATGCTGCAAAATGGTAAGTAGAGTTGTCTCTAATTATTGACTTAGCTTAAATTATAGCTACATAAATTACTCAATAATGAATATATTGCAACCTGTCAGGTCAAAATCCAGACTGTACAGAAGGGAAAGGATACAGTGAGTTTACCTTTTGGTAATATTTTTACAGTTAGGCCTAATTAAATTCATGGATCTGGTTACTATGCAAACTGCCGTTTTTATGTTTCAGTATTACCATAATCTATTAATTACCTAAGGTCTTTGACAAGTACTTTACATTCATATCATCTAAACATAACTATAATACTAGGCTAGCATCTAAGTCAACATATTATATCGATCAGGTTAGAACTAATTATCGCAAGTTCTCTGGTCCTTCTATTCGGAACAATTTAGATGAAGAGATAAAAAGCTTATNATTTTATACGAGTCGTAAGTTTACCCTTTTTACACAACACAACTTCACCGAAAATAGAAAGAAAGAGAAAAAAAACCTCTCTGACACGTTGAAAGTCTGCTTTAATTAAATTGCACTTTAACTTGGTGCCATGCAGTCCTCAAAGAACATTTGAACAGTTTTCATACTTTTTACCTTTAAAAATATTGGACTGAAATGAATGTCATCAAATAAAACTATTAAACTGCTATTGCAGAGACGTAAAAACTGTCCAGAAATGAAAACTTCTTTTTTGTTTAATATCCTGGAAACAATAGCCGATAACTTGTCAGCTCTAATCGAATTTACTCCCATATAAAAAACAAAAGTGTTAAGTTACAATTTCTTACTAAAGATAGCTAACATCTCGTGGGAAAGAGTGGTGACAATTCGTCAGCTCTAATCGAATTTACTCCCTTGTGAAAAACAAGAGTGTCAAATTACGCTTTGTAACTAAAAAATAAAAATATCTTGTTATATTTGCATGCAACAAGAACAAACAATCGTTACCCGCACTTACTATTGTAAACGTTAGAACTGTTTCAAATCTAAATAGTCTTGTCTTCTCTAAAACGTGTCCTAAGAACTAGAGGTGACGATTCGTGACCTCTAATTGAATTTACTCCTTGTGAAAAACAAAAGTATCAAGTTACATTTGTAACTAAAAATAAAAATATTCCGTTCATTTGCATACTACTAACTCATGAACTGTTTCAAACCCCAAGGCTCATCTTGTTCATAACTAAAATCCTCAGCCTAAGCCACAGAAAATGTCAAAGTAAACCCAATATATGAATACTTCCTCCTCTTTTATAGAAGAATAAATATGGCTGCTCTGAACTCTATTGGTATCAGATCTTCTCACATACCATTTACCTTTACAACAAGCAATTTGATTGGCTGTTTATAGTAGATCCAATCTGATTGGTGTGACATACACATACATCTGTCACTCACTCACTCACTCATCCATTGACCCGTCCATAACATACATGTACCAGACGCGCTGACTAAGGGGTATTTTTTTTTTCAAAAGAAATTACTCAATAAACTGTAGAATCCAAAAATAACAACAATATATATTTTGCATTTTTGTTTTGGTAGGCCCTTGCAAGTCTTTAAAAGCAAAACTGACCATACTTGCTAACCTGAATTACCAGCCTTTGTGTAAACATGGACATGCAAACTGACTGGACTATATCACTCAGGAGATGATGGGCTAACAAAATGTGGGAGGCTTTTTTGATATTTCTTTTGGTTGCTTAGAAAACCCCTTTAAAAGTTGGACAAAATAAAATTTTCTGACTGCTGTTACTTGATGGGATGTCACAAGAAAATACTTCGATTTTCATAAAAGCTTTGCACACTTTGGTGCTCTAGTATCTTACAAACAGTTTGGTCAAGTCTTGTAAAAATCTGATAAATCTACATACCCTATTAATTCATTTGAATAAAGTTAATTCACGCAAAAATAAACCTAGAGTTTTCAACCTCCAAAGACATTCACAGTGTTCGCACCTCACTGAAGCAGTTGTCAACATGGCCATGCTGCCAACTGATGAAACAAGTCTTAGAACTCCCCCGAGTCTTGTAGCGAAGAACACAACAAGAAGGCTTCCTGGGAATGGTGCATTGTTTATATTAACAGAACATATTACATTGGGAAAAGCGAAGTCTGTTGTGAAACATTCATCATCTTATAAAATGAATCAGCAGATAAATGGAAAAGAAGGAAAATGGAAAAAGAGAAATGATAGTGGAATAGCCTTTGACATTTAAAACTAAACGAGTAATTCATTGATCTGTTTGTGGTACAAGAATATGGAAAACACCCTTTGAAGCAGAAGAAACGAGCATCTGAAAAGGCTGCCATGTCAGATGTATTAAATTTGCCGGTAATTCCATGGCACCTTGTGTGCCAGAAGAGGGCAGCGACAAAATTCTCTTGCAATTTCTGCTTGCGCTTGCTTTCAAATTTGAGAACTTGAAGACTGTGCAAAATCGACCAGTATGTCGCTTAAGAGACAAATGCAATCAACAAAAGTGAAGATTTCTGTGTGAGAAATTTGCAAAACGTGAGGAGTAAACAATATGTTGAGAGATTGCCGCAAAAATTGTTACTGCTCAACTCCATGGTTGACACATTCTAATTGGCTTATCAAAGTTTATAGATTGTCAACTTGTTTTGAAAAATTACATTCTTGTGGATAATTCATTTACATTTTAAGTCTTAAATTAATTAAAATCATTTTTTTTTAGAAAATTTAGATTAAGTAGTAATAAGTATTGAATTTAGTGTGAAAAAATATTTTGGACAAAATTGGCCCTTGGAGGTCTACAGTAACCTAAATACTACGTGGCTGCTCAAGGTTATCTTTAGCAGGTAAATTTTTAGGGATTCAAGGTTCATATATGTTTATAAATGGACTATAAGTTTTCAAGCTAAACTTGACACATACCCCATTCCTGTAATCCAGTATGTAGTTTCTTAAATCACCAATTGTCTTAATCTTTACTGAAGGCTGCTTCCTTGGTTTCCGACGACGCTTTTTGGGTTTTGGAGAGCCTGGCAAGAAAAAGTCCTCTGCGTACAGAAGCAATGCACCTTTCCTTGTTGTGTAGGTTTTTGGTACATTAATACGACTCTGCTTCGTGTTGTCCACTTTAGGCAGTTTAAAGGGTTTGTTTTCATACCTTGGTCCAGGCTGGTAGTCAAAAACATCTCTTTCGGCTTGTGGCTGATAGTTTGATTCAATGGGTGGCAGATGAAGACCATCTAATGAGAAGTAGTCCTATAGAAATGAACAAAACATTACATTTAACGGGCTTATCTTGCTACTGATAATATTTTAAATATGATCAGATGGGAGGATGCAAGAAAAATCCATTAAAAAATTATACCCAAAATCCCCTGTCCCTTCTTACTTGAAAATGAGTTGTGGCATGGAGGATAATCAGCTGCAAGCTTAAATGGATGCCCAGATAACAAATTTTTATAAGCAGCTCTAGGTCAATGTTTGTGTAAAGTGAGTTAGTCAGCACATAGCAAGTCCTTTGTACAATATAAATAGAGTTTTCATCTCAAGATTTTTTGGTTAAGGTGTGGGTTGTCATCCTATTATAATATCCCAGGTGGCAAAACGGACTCACAAGTAGTCGCAACTTGAACTTAAACTTGCCTAGAGACTTGCCTTGGATGGCCATATGGACTCACAAGTTTCCTTGCAAGTACACACAAGTTGCAGAAAAAAAAAATTTCAAGGCTAAGGGCTTAGTCCCACGCAGCCAATACCCCATATTTCATTGGCTAATATGTTGCTTTTAATAACAATGAATGGAAGTCACTCAATTTGCATTGACTTGGGTTGGGTGGCCAAACAGTGAAAAACTTGTGTCGATTTGTATGCAAATTTTGGCCACAACCAAAGTGAGTGCAAGTCATTGCAAGTCAATTCAAGTGCACACAAGGCCTGGCCAAACAGTCACAAGTAGACGTACTTGTGAGTCCGTTTGGCCTGAAGTCTTAATACCATAAAAATGCATGTTAGGTTTGCCATTTGTCAATTAGTTTTGTCATTTGGGCATAAATTTAAGAAGTCTTTACAACAGGCAGAAAAAAAAACCACTCATACCACAGTACTGTAACTGAAAAAAAGTCTCACACAAAAATAATTTGTTTACCAAGAACAAGGAACACGTCATACTGTTTCATTTCACTCAGAGCTTTCAAAGAATTAGGAAACTTTTTCCCCCTTTCCATACACACTTGTTCACACTTGTTTATCCTCATCGTCCTCATCATCCCATCGGAGTGGTTTTCAATTGAGTGTCGTAAAACCAAACCCAAACCAATTACTTACCAATTAGACTACTCAGCCAATCTCAAACCGTCGTAAAACCAAAACCAAAGCAATTGCCTGATTACTTTCGACACTCAATTAAAAACTGCACTAGATCATGTATAGACTACGAGTACTCCCTCTTTCGCTTAGTCCGTCAAGGGGTGACGCAAAAGAAAACCATGAGAAAAAAATGGCCATGTGAAATCCTGGGCGCGAGGAGTGCGCGAAAGGAGGGACTACCGCCTAAGCCCAAGAGTTTGAATTATGCGTTGCTCTCACAACGCAAAAATATGATTGGCTTATGTTAGGAGTGTTGACAACGTGTTGTCAACAATCGAGATACGTGTGATGTCTTGCAAGAATGTTTTGGAACGGGAGCAAATTGAAGTGGTACCAGAGCAATGCAAATGCAAATGCAAATGTCAGGATCGCACTTCGCAAGCCATGATGTTCTTGTGAATCTGCCAACAGGCTTTGGAAAGATTTAAATTTATCCAGTATTTTGTTTGGCAAAGCTTTCTGCCTCCAACCCAACTGCGAGCGTGTTAGTGATTTTGCTGCTCAACAGCATCGTCCAGGTCAGCGAATATAAATTCACTGAGCTTGGCTTTTCTGCCGTCCATTTGAAAGATTGAACAGGACTCACTTGAACCTGGACATTCACCTGAAACTTTCCACTGCTATCAGCAAACATTTCACCGTAGTTGGATGATCTCCTATGTCAAATACATTATGTAAATTCTTGATTGAAACTCTGCATTTGAAATTTTCGCAATAACTTTTAGATTTACACTTACAGGCGCCGCGAAAATCGTAACAAGATGCCTTATTTGCAGTCTTCTTCTTTAAACTCCTTTGGCAGTTTCGCTGAACGAACACTGAATGAAGATATATTTCTCAGAGCATATGTTTTTGCCTGGCTACTTGAAGAGTAGCGTAGAGTAATTTTATTCAGGATATCTCCCGGGGTTATTGACAACAGGCGATAATAAGAGAACGTCAAGATAAGAAATCCTATACCAAAAAATCACTCAGCCGTGAAAGGGCAAACTCTTGGGCTTAGGCGGTAGTCCCTCCTTTCGCACACTCCTCACCTCCAGGATTTTGCACGGCCATTTTTTTCTTGCAGTTTTCTTTTGCGTCACGCACAACGGACTACTACGATTATCAGTTGAGTAAGGCGGACGAAAGTTTGGTCACCAAGTTTTAACGTCAAAATCGTGTTGTTGTCACGAGCAACTGGCTCCGTATCCATTGGCAACTTGTCGGCCTTTGACGTCAATTGACAGCAAAGCACGCGAAATTGTAGGCGACGCGACAGGCGACCAACGGCTGTTGATATTGTTACCAACGGAAACGAGGTAAGTTGCCCGTGATTACAACACGATTTTACGTTAAAACTTGGTGACCAAACTTTCGTCCCGCCTTACTCAACTGATAATCGTAGTAAGTGAAAGAGGGACTACTCGTAATCTAGTTCATGTATTGTAACTCATGGATTTTTTAACCTTAAGTAATGGTCTGTATGAAAACTAGGCAAAGGACCAATAGCCTGCTGCAATAGTTTCAACTTTTGATTAGCACAGAGAACAATGCTGAAATTTGGCCCTGAGGCAGATGACAACTTAACGTCCAGGCTGTGGAGGCCCTTAGCAAAAAAAAAAAATGTGGTTCATGTCAGGTTCTCTTTGATTTTCAGAGATTTTTTTGTTATTAGCCAATCACCTTCAACCATTACTTAATTGCGTAATTGCCTTATGGAATAGCCTTCCACTGCCTCAACCTGTCATGACCCCTGATGGTACAATATTTGTCACTGAAATTTCCTTGTGAGAAGCCCGACTGTCTCCCTATGAAATTCCAGAAGAACACTTATATTCTCATTACTATTTAATCAAGTACCTGCAAGTTTTAACTTTCTATCATGTAACAGCAATGTGACAAAAGCGTTATGTCGTAGCATTCCTGTAAGATTCAAGTATGATCTACCAACCACACTTCTCTTGGATCACAGGTTTAACACTCACCATTTGAACCATCACAATATGTGTATGATGTTTACAACATACATCCAGAGTAATTTTACTTAAAGTAATTTGATGTAAAACCAGAACCAAAGCAAATATGTCTGACATCACAAACGACAAAGTCTAGTGAACCAGTCAAACAACAAAGCAAACTAAAGAACAAGTCAGAAACGTTGTGAGGAATTCAAGGTTGTCGTAGTTTTTACTTCTTATTAGATTTATTTTTCGCCAATCTGTAGGCATAGTAACATAAAACCAACGCTAATGCATTTTATATTAATTGCCAGACTCAACCACTCTAAGAAACATCGAATGTTAGTTTACTTCCCGATGGCAAATTAAATTTGTCAAAAATCGACCACAGGGGGCCATAACAGTTCGATAAAGCAACCTAATAAACCATATTCAACACTGAAACGAAGGAATTATCACTACAAGTATTAAAGACTTAGATCCTTTTGATTTATTAATTCGTCTTCTTAGAAAAGTACTGTTATGCTTCCTTTGTTTGATATTTGTTTATATTTACGTATCGATGCACAAGTCGCCACCCATAATATCGCCGAAAGCTCATGGAAGTGCAAGCATTAATTTACCTAGCTTACTAACAGAATTACACGAGTGAATGGAATCAAAGTTGGGGGCAGCTTACGTGCAAGAAGTCATTAAACACGCTTTAAATATTTTAAATGTCAATATTAAATATTCATCCTGGCCTTTGCGTTTTGTTCACCCCGGAAAAAATCAAGATACACAAGCTTAAATAAAATCCATCATCTGTGCTGAACAATCTGAAACTGCTCAAAAATGTGTGCCGTGTGGAATATCTTCGCGGCACAAGTAAGGCGCAAATATAAAATGAAGACATGCACTTTTTTCGCTGGATCACAAGCGCATACGATCAACATCCGAATGTGCTGCAAAAGATTACCTCAGTTTTTACTCACTGGGCTGTGAGAAATAAGAGTTTTTCATTTGATACAATTACCAAAGCACGGACGAATATCAACCACAATAAAGTACTGACAAAATTAGGGCAAGAAAAAAGCTTTGCTGTTAGATTCCTCACCTTGTGGTCGTGGATTTCTTGGCGTGAGTCTTTCTTTGCTCTCCCGTCATACGTCCCGTATCCTTGACTGAGCAAAGAAAACATGACCATAAAATACTTAACACATTGTCTACCTATTTCTCTGTCTATCTGGTTATCATTGTGTCTTCAAAACAAAGTGGGAACAGAGTAGAACGGGAAAGTTTCCATTCCCCATTCCCCGAAGAATGTTGAACAAGCGGTTGCCATAGATGTGTGCAATGTTCTTTTTATAAATAACTTATTAATTTTATTCACACAGAAAACGTATTGTTCTTCACAATGCAGTCTCCGCCAATCAACAACAGTCTACCTCCAAGGAGAAGCTCTTACGTTCAACACTAATTTGTGGTGAAAAGAAAACTGGACCAGTTAAAGTTAGTTCTATATCATTATTACAACTTTTGAATTTTGTATTATGTTAATTCTACAAGCAATTTGGGTGGAAAGAAATGGCTACTGAGGCCAACATGACTCCTCAAATTCTGAATTAAGCTTATATTCCACACTAAATTTCGGTCAAGGTTTACCATGGTTCCAGATATCTTCCCTTTTGTATTTGTTAATCAAACGATGGCTTTTTTGTGTGTCAGAAGAGGAAAGAAGAAAGAAAACCTCGGGGACTAGGGTAGTCAATCCAGAAATACTCCTTTGATGCTTAGACCTGATTCTCCCGTATTTCAAGTTTGGTCTCTTTCGACTGACTGAGGGCCTGATTAGCCTGGCTGGTGTCACTTTGCCGGGGTCTCGGCACGTTTGTAAACGCAACAAAAATCAACTTCGCGATTACATGACAACCGGGTCAGCCCAGTTAGCCGAGATCCCGGTATCGTGGTGCCGGGATCCCGGCTAACCGAGCTGAGATTTTTCCATGTAATCGCGTTTGCCGGGTCAGCCCGGCTCATTAAGCCAGCGAGAGTACAGAAAATCAAACATTAAAAAAAATCAAGCTCGCTCCGGTCTCCCGCGGTTCATCGCGACAGCCATCAACCGGGCTGGCTCGCCTCATGTAATACCTGGCTGAAAGTCATCTTGGCACACCGAAGGAGCCCGGCTCATGTAATCAGGCCCTCAGACTGGCTTACAATCGCGAAGTCGAGAGAAGGCTTCTGAGAATTTTCTCTTGAAAAAGAGTACACTTATCTGTTGTTGTTGTTGTTTTTTTATTTAAAAAAAAATGAGCTACGTCAGTTGTTGAATGAATAATAACAAACCAATTTAACTAAATGCGTAAAACGAACAGTAAACGGGAAGTTGACTAGAACCTTACACCCACCGAATCATAAGACCGGCAAACTGTCCTGACGGTATAATCAAAATCTCGCTTGAACAGTTGAACTAAAAAATTATCTTCGAAACCACTTCCTACCTCAACATCCACGCAGATCAGTGATAACGTAGTCGAAGAATTTCTGTTAAGAAAATAAAGTTCTTGCAAATTAAGCCCGAAAAAAGATTTTGGAGTTCCAACGGGATTTGAACCCGTTACGTTAAGCGCTGCAGTGTGCTGCAGTACTCTACCATCCAAGCTATGAAGAGCCATACATTGAGAGTGCATCAATTAACTCGTGAAAAGTATGAAACCAGGAGCCATAATCGGGGACGGAGACCGTAAGCGCGCGCTATTTCTAGTATTGGGGCTTTTTCTATTTTTAGAACAAATTGCGCCATCATGTGCGGCACACGCGCGTACATGCTGCGTGGATTTTTGCGGATATAGCGCGGGGAAATGGCGTCCGAAATGCCCGAAATGTTTGATGCTTTTGGCCCACAAATCAATACGTTCATGTCTGTTGGAATTTTGCTTCAGTATT